ACCAAACACGGGTCAAGAAAGATCGCGATGCAGTAAAAACAAAACCAGATCTTACATTTCTGAAGCAGCACTCGGGAGCTGCCTCCGCTCCGCACTGCTTCTGGTAATCTGCCCAGTCAAAATCCGGATTAGAATAACCTGCAGGAAATCCCAGGAAACGAACAAAAGATGGTTTTCTCTCGTTTTGTGTGGATAGCCCAACATCTGTCCCTCAAGAATAACACAAGTATCCTAGACTGTTTACATCAGCCCGTTCAAAGCCTGTCCTTCGCAAACTCGAGTTTACAGGAATTGGATGAGCTGAGCCAATATACACAATTTAGAAACTTTCAAACATTATCTAGCCCAGGGGTCTTCAAACTTGGCCACTTTAAGACTTGTGGACTTCAACTCTCAGAATTCTGGGAGTTGAAGTCCACAAGTCTTAAAGTTGCCAAGTTTGAAGACCCCTGTAGCTGGCTGAGGAATTCTGGGAGTTGAAGTCCACAAGTCTTAAAGTGGCCAAGTTTGAAGACCCCTGTAGCTGGCTGAGGAATTCTGGGAGTTGAAGTCCACAAGTCTTAAAGTGGCCAAGTTTGAAGACCCCTGTAGCTGGCTGAGGAATTCTGGGAGCTGAAGTCCACAAGTCTTAAAGTGGCCAAGTTTGAAGACCCCTGACCCAGCCCATATGATTTTTTGTTGTTGTTGTTGTTGTTGTTTACAGTGAGTCAGTTGATGGCAGCCAGCGTTGTACTGTGGCGACAAAAAAGCCAGATGTGATGTTAGGCTACATCAACATAAATGTAAATCAAGGAGAAGTCACCCAGCTGGTTTTCATACCTAAGGCGGGACTAGAACTTTCAGTCTCCTGGTGATTGGCCCAAAGTCACCCCACTGGCTTCCATGCCTAAGGCATGGAATGATTGGTCCAAAGCCGCCCAATCGGCTTCCAGGCCTAAGGTGGGACTAGAACTCATAGTCGCCTGATCATTGGCTCAAAGTCACCCAGCCAGCTTCCAGGCCTAACATGAGACTAGAACTCACCATCTGCTGGTGATTGGTCCACAGTCACCCAATCAACTTTTATGCCTAAGGCAGGACTAGAACTCACTGTCTCCTAGTTTCTAGCCTGGTGCCTTAATCACTAGACCAGGGGTAGGCAACCTTGGCTCTTTTATGACTGGTGGACTTCAACTCCCAGAATTCCTGAGCCAGCGTGGCTCAGCATGGAAGCCTCTCCCTTTCCCCTCAGCATGGCTGGCTCAGGAATTCTGGGAGTTGAAGTCCACGAGTCATAAAAGAGCCAAGGTTGCCTACCCCTGCACTAGACCAAACCTGCTGAGTTAGCCTCAAACTTCTGGTTCTGCCCAATTAAGTTTTAATTCTGCATCATGCCTTTTAGGAAAATGCTGGGCATTCTCTTTCTCCACAAAAAAGATGGCTGAAAATTGTAAGAGCTCTTCATAGCTTGCTGAGATTTTAGATATTCCTGTGTACTGTAGGGCAGACATGTTTGTTGTCCCTTGTGGTCTCTCCATTTTGTGTGGGGAAAGGGACTTGTCTCCTTCACAGTCCGTTTCCTTCTCCGCCGAATCTCCATCTTGAATTTCTGCACGATCAGCCTAGGCATCCCCAGCTTTCAGATCTAAATATTTAATCGTTGGGAGCTGCTTGGAAATTGCACTCATTGGGAATAAGCCAGAGCGAAAAGCAAGCACACAACTCCCATGCAGAAATCCCCCCCACAGCTGTAAACGCTTAAGGAAAAAGAAATCTATAAATCTAGCTCTCAACCATATAAATAGTGTCATCGGAGCGCTTTCATACTGGGGGAAATTAATGGTTATTAATTTGCTGGCTGGCATCAAATCAAACTCCTGAGGGAATCTAAACAGCTCTTCTAACCGTACATTACTGTGTACGTTAAAAACAAAGTGTACATTACTTTCCAATTATTAATCTATCTTAGTCATGTCTTGGAAGAAGAAGGAGAAATTCCCTTAGAAGCCAGAAGCCTTATCAGGAATTTGCTGATCTAATGCAGCAACTTTGATGGTTTTGATATTGCTCTGAAGATTAAGCTTTGCGGACAAGAAGCAAAAGGCTGGGAACGTATCTTTCTAGTCCAGGGGTCTTCAAACTTGACTTTTTTATGACCCGTGGACTTCAACTCCCAGAATTCCTGAGCCAGCCATGCTGAGGGGAAAGGGAGAGGTTTCCAAGTTGAGCCATGCTGGCTCAGGAATTCTGGGAGTTGAAGTCCACGAGTCATAAAAGAGCCAAGGTTGCCTACCCCTAGCCTAAGTCCTCCTGTTCTAAGCGGTGAGCCTCCTAGACCAGGGGTGGGCAACCTTGGCTCTTTTATGACTGGTGGACTTCAACTCCCAGAATTCCTGAGCCAGCATGAGGGAACTATGGCCCCTTCATAACTTGTGGACCTCAACTCCCAGAATTCCTGAGCGAGCATGGCGGAACTATGGCCCCCTCATAACTCGTGGACTTCAACTCCCAGAATTCCTCAGCCAGCATGGCTCAGCTTGGAAACCTCTCCCTTTCTCCTCAGCATGGCTGGCTCAGGAATTCTGGGAGTTGAAGTCCACAAGTCATAAAAGAGCCAAGATTGCCTAACCCTGCCCTATACCATTCTGGATAAATGATCGTTCAATCTCTTCTTAAAAACCTCCAGTGATGGAGCATCCACAACTTCTGGAGGCAAGTCGTTCCGCTGATTATGCAATCCCCCCCCAATCCAGCCCAATTCTTTGATGACAAGACAAACCTTTGGGAGGGGTGAGATGAACTCCATTTTTAAGGCACCACTGCACCGGCAGGATGCCCAAGGAATCAGCGTGGCAAAGCATCGTGGTGTTGTGTGGTTCGGGACGGAGGTCGTCAAGAGTGACTTGCACGAAATGGTGGTTGAAAACCTATAGAGAAACAACGGACACTAAGCAAATCGTCGTAAGTCGAGGACCGCCCGTATTGTGGTGGGGCAAGAAAGGAAAAGTTCCAGAAGTTCTTCCAAGCTACTCAAGAGACAGTTTTATGCTCAATGATAACATGGGCAAAGTATTTTGGACATAACATAGAATTAGAAAACTGGCAAAGCCTTTGGGAAAGAAATTCTAAAACAACAAAAACAGTAGCGTACAAAGAAAATCTATACAAAATGTTTTATAGATGGCATTTAACACTGGTGAGGTTAGCAAAAGTGTTTAAAAATATATCAAGCAGTTGTTGGAAAGGTAGATAACAACCAGGCACTTATTACCATCTTTGGTGGACATGCTCCAAAGCCAAAAGATTCTGGTTCAGAATACACACATGGTTAGAGAAAATGACTTAAAAAACCATATAGAATTTAAGCCAGAACTATTTTTGTTAGGCATAATTGTAGGAAATTATGAGAAAGAGTATATATATCTAATTTTACATGTATTAACTGCAGCGAGAATTGTATTCGCTCAACATTGGAAAAATGAAGATTTACCAACAGAGGAAGAGTTAATAAAATTTTTTTAGATTGTGCAGAAATGGATAGATTGACATTGAAAATGAAAGAGAAAGAAGATTCGGTTTATTTTAGATCATGGGACACGTTTTATCAATGGCTAGAAATTTAACATATATTAGTAAGTTAAATGTTAGAACCCAGACAATATGTTGCTGATAAAATATTAAGCACTTGTGATTATAAAAAATTTACACACACACACACACACACACACACACCTCGGCTGCAAAAGATCTGATTTTAATTCTCAGTTCCGTTTTGGTTTCCTCACCTTGGTTATAGTAGCTGGGCAAATCGTGGCTGGTTCCCGTTGATCCACCGCTTCCAGCTTCATCCCGACTGTAAATGAGTGCTCCCTCAGATCAGTGTGATCCTGGGGAAAAGATGTTGAGAACTTTGGACTCACGGCCAAGAGTTGGGTCCATCCTGCCAGTGATCGCCTGCTCAGGTAGTCCTCGACTTACTACTACTCTGTGCATTAATGATTCACCTGTGGAGATGGGTTACCAGCATCAAATTCCTGGGTGTGCAGCTAACGAGTAGGCTGGCTTGATCGCTCAACAGGGAGACACTGGTGAAGTGGGCACAGCAGCGCCTGCATTTTCTGCATCGCATGAGAAAAGCACATCTTCCTTCCCCTGTCCTGACCACTTTCTACAGAGGGACGATGGAGAGCATCCTGTCATACAGCATCACAGTCTGGTTTGGAGGCATCCCTGCTTCAGACAGGAAGGCAGTGCAGAGAGTGGTGAGGACAGCAGAAAAGATCATTGGCAGATAACTCCCTTCAGTCCAGGACATGGCACAGAAGCGTTGCTTGAGCAGGGTCCGCAAGATTGTCTGGGACACTACACATCCTCTTCACAACCTGTTTTCTTTGTTCCCTTCCGGGAGGAGGGGGCTTCGTGGCATCCGAACCAGAACATCCAGATTCAGTCATAGCTTTGTTCCATACAGTATTAACCTTGTGAACTCTCAAGCTTCCTCCTTCCGTTGTGTATTCAAGATGGACAGTGAATAATATTTATATGTTACTTCTGTGTAAGGGTGTAGGTCTATAATATGTTTTAAATGTGTTATGTATACGTACACTTTGAGAGGAAGCAACTACATTTCATTTTTAATGTGTGCCATTGTGCCCACAGGAAAAAAAATGACAATAAAGGTTATCTATCTATCTACAAGGGATCGTCAAATTTCCACAGTGAAGCAAGACGGTGGTTAAGTGAGTTTTGCCCCATTTTATTTTATTTTTTTTAATTTGTATTGATTTTCCAGTTTTACATTTAAATATTTGAAAAGCAACGAGGCGGCTGGGTTGGTTCATAATTCAATAACATACAAATTTCTTTACTACAGATCACCAACTAGTACCGTATATACTCGAGTATAAGTCGACCCGAGTATAAGCCGAGGGACCGATTTTCCCACAGAGAACTGGGAAAAATTGGTGACCCGCGCATAAGCCGAGGGGGCATTTTGGCTGTTCCTCCCTGGCCGCCGCCCC